CCTCAAAGTAATCAGGGCTAGATGGCCATACACGGTGACCGATGGACGAAAAAAACATGCGTGAATCAGGGCGTCGGATTGTTCTGAATAAGATAAAAATTACACAAGATAAATAATGAAATAGACTGAGCAGGATGGAATATTGTCCAATTCTTATTTGTTCTACAAGTTCAATTAGACCAGGCAGGTCAAAGTGGGCAATTTGGCACCACCTTTCAGAGGTTTCCTTATCAACAATCTATGGTGCATTTCTCTCCTTGGGCACTCTCAGATGCACTATACATCCCGGCTATTTTCAATAAATAATGTTGACTGTAACTAAAAAGGGCCAGAAAATGAGATGGTTAATAAAAGACAAGACATAGGTCACATGCTTTCTAATTTAATGTGGCACCTTCTCTCTTGAAAAACAAAAAATACAAGGAGAAACTTGATCCCAGCTACTGTCCAAACAGGGCCAAGTCATGTTTTCACAACTAACAATATGACTGTCTTTTCTGAAAAAAACGTCTAACCGCATACCTAAACGTAAATTCGTAAGTTATGCAATCATCCGCTAACCAAGTGCATGTTTAAATTTAAATTTCATATGGTCTTGTGACTTAAACTCTACCATACAGTCTCACGCCTACGACCTTGTTCGACCACTGAACTAATTTGTGTAATTCATTTCATGACTATTCTCAAACACATGTAATGTATATTTTACGATGCCCAACAGATAATGGGGGTATGCCCAATGTCCATCAATGAAAACATCCACAGTTTCTTAGGTAAATGAATACATATATTGTAACAGACCCAAAGTCCTACACAAAAGTTTAATGAATGAAAGTATCAAAACCTGAGAAGCAAGAAGAACAGCATCTTTGTGGAGGAAGAGAGTGAAATGACTGATGAGATTGAAGCTCCCTGTCAACCATTTTCCTGGTGGTACATAGAGTTGCGATCCACCATCAGATGCAAACTGGCTCAAATGGTCGATTGCCGCCTTAAAAGCCTTGGTGTTCAACGTTGTTCCGTCACCAACTCCTCCGAAATCAGTCAACGACGCACCGTGAGTTCTGCAACTTATAGCCGAGTACTCAAAATTGTCCGAACTTTGATCTTTTTGCCCATCAACATTCTTTCCACTCAGCAGAACCACAATCACAACGACAAATACTATCTCAATTACCTGTAAATGTAAGAGAGAGAGAGAGAGAGAGAGAGAGAGAGACAACCCATCTGGTATGTGAGATCAAATCTAATTTTTGGAAGGTATTCATCACAGCATTACAAAAAATCAGAAACCCATTTAAGGAGCTATCGAATCAAATCATTTTCTGGAACTTTTAATCCAAGAAAAAGGTTTCAAATGATAGTAGTAGTTGTGATAAAGGGTTTACCAGAGCTTTTCTGAAACTTTTTGAGCATTCCATTGTAGGGAAGGCAAGGCTAGTTGAGATTTGGTCTGTTGCAGGTACAAATTGTGGAGTGTATATAGACAAAGGATTGTATGTAAGGTATGTCTTTACGCTATAACTATATTCCTCCTTTCTTTATGGGTTGCAGTTTGATTGCTTAGTCAGAATTGTGGATCAGAGGAAACGGAAAGTGTAAGAGAAAACTACAGTTTTCACCCCCCACTAGAAGTGATTGTAACATTGTACGTCTGAACTTATTTTTATAGCTGTTTGATAACCAAACACGTGGAGCCCAACTCGTTTTAATAGAATTTATTTTCTTGAAACCAGACATCTGGATGGCACACATTACTTGTATTGACGATTGTGCAGGCATTCTTTGAGCAGTTTATTTAATAAATGAGTGGAAATTAATAAATAAAATTAATTAAAAAAATATATAATACTAAATATTTATATACTGATTATACTATTATGATATGATGATAGAATTCAAAAGATCTATCACTATTTATATGATTAAGATTAAGATATAATGATAAAATACAAAAGATTTATCATTATTTATAAAATGATAAACTTGTGATATTTTATTTTTATTATATAATATATTATCACCCTATAAATAGAGTTGAGTCTCGTGTAATCAAGAATTACTAAATAAGCATTGATGTAGTCTTTTGGAGCATTTGGTCCGTGGAAAATAGACATATTACACACTACGTATATCTTAATATTCATAGTTTTGTTTTCTTTTCTTATTTTAATTTCTCTCATGTTCAAGCCAAGTTTTTTAGACTCTAGACAATACGTACAGTTTATTTTAATCAGTAAGGTTACAATTTTCTAGTTGTTAATGATTTCTGTGCAATTTTTATTGCATTGATAATCCAATTTTCCTATTTTAGGTGTAAATTTGAAAAATTAATAATAAATCATAGGAGTGTCCAACTTCAGCGTTGCCAATTTTTTTAGAGTCCAGGCACTACATACATTTTATTTTACTAAGTTAGATTGCATTTTTCTATTTTTTTAAATAATTTTTGTGCAATTTTTAATACTTTGATGATTTATTTATTTTTTTATTTTAGGAAAGAATTTGAAAAATTAATAATAAATCATAGCGAAGTCAAGGTTCAATGCCGCCAATTTGTTTAGACCCCAAACAATACGTACATATTTTTTTTAATAAGTTACACTGCAATTTTCTATTTTTTTTGAAATAATTTTTGTGCAATTTTTACTCTCTTTGATAATCCTTTTTTTCTATTTTAGTAAAGAATATAAAAATTAATAAGAAATCCTGGCAGAGTTTGAACTTAGTGCCGCTAATTTTTTTAGACTCTAGACAATATGCCACATTTTATTTGAATATGTTAGGTTGCAAGTTTCGATTTTGTAATAATTTTTTGGCCATTTTAAAAGTTTTTACAACTCAAAATTTCTATTGTAGGAAAGAATTTGAAAAGTTAGCAATAAATCATTGGAAAGTCCAAATTCAGTGCCGCCAACTTTTTCAAACTCCAGACAGTACTTACATTTTATTTTTAATATTTAGACTGCAATTTTCTATTTTATAATAAATTTTGTGGAAATTTTTAATACATTGATAATCCCTTTTTTCTATTTTAGGAAAAAGATTTAAAAATTAATAATAAATTGTAGCAGCGTCCAAATTCGGTGCCACCAATTTTTTTAGACTCTAGACACTCTGTACATTTTATTTTAATAAGTTTGATTGCACTTTTCTATTTTTTGAAATAATTTTTGTGTAATTTTTAATGCTTTGATAATCCCTTTTTTTCATTTTAGGAAAAAATTAAAAAAATTAAAAATAAATCATATGATGGTTTGAATTCAGCCCTGCCAATATTTTTAGACTCCAGATAGTATGTACATTTCATTTCAATAAGTAAGATTTCAATTTTCTAATAATTTTTGTGCAATTTTTTATGCTTTGACAATCAATTTTTCTATTTTAGGGAAGAATTGAAAAAATTCATAATAAATCGTAGCATAATCCAAATTTAGTGCCACCATTTTTTTCAAGTCCAGACAATACGTACAGTTTATTTTAATCAGTAAGGTTACATTTTTCTATTTTTTGATGATTTTTGTGCAATTTTTATTGCATTGGTAATCCAGTTTTCCAATTTTAGGAGAAAATTTGAAAAATTAATAATAAATCATAGCAGCGTCCAAATTCAGTGCTGCCAATTTTTTTAGAGTCCAGGCACTACGTGCATTTTATTTTACTAAGTTAGATTGCATTTCTCTATTTTTTTAAAAATATTTTTTGCTTAATTTTTAATTCTTTTATAATTAAAAATACATACATTTTACTTTAATAAGTTGGATTGCAAATTTTCTATTTTTCAATAATTTTTGTGTAGATTTTATTGCAACTATAATCCATTTTTTCTATTTCGTGAAAGAATTTGTAAAATTAATAATAAATCATAGGAGTGTCCTAATTCGGTGCTGTCATTTTTTTAAACTCTAGACAATACATAGATTTTATTTTAACAACACGGATTGCAATTTTCTATTTTTTAAATAATTTTTGGGCAATTTGTTATTGTTTGGATAATCCCTTTTTTTCAGTTGAGGAAAAAAATTAAGAAATTAATAATAACTAATAGGAGAGTCCGAATTCAACGCCTCTAATTTTTTTTAGATTCCAGACAATACATACATTTTATTTTAATAAGTTAGATCTCAATCTCTTTTTTTTCAATAATTTTTTGTGTAATTTTTAATACTTTGATAATCCATTTTTTCTATTTTAAAAAACTTTTGAAAAATTAATAATAAATCGTAGCAGAGTCCAAATTCAGTGCCACTAATTTTTTAGACTCCAAAAAGTACTTTCATTTATTTTAACAAGTTAGATTGAAATTTTCTATTTTTTAATATTTGTAGTGCAATTTTTAGTTGTTTGATAATACCTTTTTTCCATCTTTGGAAAGAATTAAAAAAATTAATAATAAATTATAACAGAGTCCGAATTAAGTGTCGCCAATTTTTTTTAGCCTCCAACAATACTTACATTTTATTTTAAAAAGTTAGATTTCAATTTTCCTTTTTGAATAATTTTGTGCGATTTTAGTTCTTTGATAATCCTTTTTTTTTTTTTCATTTGAGGAAAGCATTTGAAAAATTAGCAATAAATCATAGTAGAGTTCGAATTTAGCAACGCCAATTTTTTTAAACTCCAGACAATACTTACATTTTATTTTAATAAGTTAGATTGCAATTTTAATTTTTTAATAATTTTTGTGCAATTTTTAATACTT